TGGTAAACACCACCTGGTAACACAAGACACACACAGTACATTAACACTGGTAAACACCACCTGGTAACACAAGACACACACAGGAAATACTAGTTGTGTTTGAAGAATTTAAAGACAATTCAACACTGCTTAGTCAGCAGGGGCTGCTTTAATTATTATTAATTTAACTCATTGCGACCTCAATATAGACTGTTGRTAAACATTTGTAAAATATCTAAATAAATTAAAGCAGAGGTTCTCAAACTGTGGTCCCAGGACCCCCAGGGGTCCACAAGAGGTATCTTGGGGGGAGGGGGTCCCCTCAAAAGATTTCATGAAATTGTTCATTTGTTTTTTTTTTTTTTTTTTAATGCATGGACAGGGTTCCTACAGTTTAAGGAAAGTTAAATTTAAGACTTTTTAAGACTTTTTAATGCCAAGTGAAATCAAATTTAAGACCAATTTCACAATTAACACAAATGATAAAAAATTAAAACTTGGCAGAAACTCATGAATCCAAGTATTTTTGGTTGAATAATTTAAATATTGCTAACAGACTGATTATTTTTATCCATATCTAACTTTTATTTTGTCAAATAAAGCTAATAGAACATTCTTAGCAGTCTAAGAATAGACAGTGCCTGTGATGTAAAACGTCTGTAAGAAATATGATTGCATTTTTGGAATGACATCATTAACAAATAACAAAACAAATTTCACRYTGCTCAGATGGACRGTTGTTGAGATATTTGCATGTGAAATAACAGGAAGTGATGYCAATTGTGAACATCTGAATGTGAATATTTCAAAAATTAATAAATGTTACCAATTATTTTAATATTTGAAATGAATTACAGTCATCCTACTTACAATGTTGTAACATTTTTAAGACTTCTGAAGATCGATTTAAGACATTTTAAGGCTAATTAAGGGCTTATTTTTGGATTGATGAATTCAATGACTTTTAAGACTTTTTAAGGACCTGCAGGAACCCTGATGGAGAACAATGAACTAATAAAAGAAACATAATAAACTAAAAAAAAAATGTTCCCATAGCATTTAGGGGTTGAAATGACATTAAATTATCCTGTAAGTAATCTTTTAAAACAGTGTGGGGTTTATGAGGGAGGGGGTCCATGGGATTTTTTCGCCCTTGTAACTCAGACCCAAAATGTTTGAGAACCCCTGAATTAAAGCAGATACAACACTAAAGTAGCCCAAAGTAAATAGATATCATCTATTTAAATTGTGAAGTACACAAGTGAAAACATAAATAAATAATTTGATCACAGCAGCTGGTGGAGTTTAGCTGGTAAACGTCAGGTGTCAAAGAATCAGAGGTTTTCCCTTTCCTCACCTGGGACAGCAGTCTTTGTTACTTGAATTTCAAACATGTTTAAAAACAAAAAAACCTGTTTGACTGACTTTATCTTAAAAAGTCCCAGCTGTGAAAGCGTGTCAAACCAAGCTGTGTGTTTATTCCAGCACAGGAGAAAACCTGAGGCTACGGCTCAGAAACCATCCAACCATAAATAATTATTTCATATTAATCTGTCTGACTGTTTTAAAAGTGGACTAATATGGAGCCCGCGAGGGGACATGGGAGATTTCTTTCTTTTGCGTTCCCTCGCAAAAGTAGTTTATCACTGTTGTGCTGTTGGTTTATGAACAAACTCACATGTTCACCATTAGTGAGTTAGCCTACTGCTTTGATTCAGCTTCAGAATGAATATATCACACAGACACRCAGGGTTTCCCCTACATGTAAATGATCGTGGCGCACCGCTACGGCTAAATAAAAGCCGCCACACCTTCGGAAGGAAGTTTTTTTTCCAACGTAAAACAGGGGTTGATAAAATCATTTAGGTTGTTTGAGACGACCTATTTTCATTTCGGACAACCAGATCCCGCNACATTAACACTGGTAAACACCACCTGGTAACACGAGACACACACTGTACATTAACACTGGTAAACACCACCTGGTAACACGAGACACACACAGTACATTAACACTGGTAAACACCACCTGGTAACACGAGACACACACTGTACATTAACACTGGTAAACACCACCTGGTAACACAAGACACACACTGTACATTAACACTGATAAACACCACCTGGTAACACAAGACACACACAGTACATTAGCACTGGTAAACACCACCTGGTAACACAAGACACACACAGTACATTAACACTGGTAAACACTACCTGGTAACACGAGACACATACTGTACATTAACACTGGTAAACACCACCTGGTAACACAGTACATTAACACTGGTAAACACCACCTGGTAACACAAGACACACACAGTACATTAACACTGGTAAACACCACCTGGTAACACAAGACACACACAGTACATTAACACTGGTAAAC